TTACTGTATTAATTGATGTCTGGTTCTCATCTAACTTAGGTTTGAAAGTACAGTACTGTACACTGGAAGTTTTCAATTTGCTTTAGAAAAAATGACACATATTTTCGATTGGCCATTCCAAAAAGGGTATTCTGTAAGTTAATGTATTTCTAAGATAACAAACTCTTTTGTACAAACCATTTATTATTGCTTGTGTGTGTGTGTGTCAAAGAAAGGTCTGCGCTAGAGGGGAGAAATCCCAGGTTGGTTTGCGCCCAACCAATTGCCTCATTTGATTTAATTCATCAACTATAATCTGAAATCTCATCACTCAAGAAGTACTCTGCTGACACAATCAAGGTGTAAGGCTTGATAAAAACTAATTTCTAATTGTAAAACCTTACACTTTCTGCCCAGGAAGCCATATTATTGCCATCCAAGGGTTGATCAAGATTTTATGGAGTAATCATCAGAAAACATCAATGCAGATTTTAAGACCCATGTTCTTTGTTTCCTAGGATCACATAACAGTAAAAACTAGAATAACTTGCCTCTTTTTCATTTTTTTCATTTTCTAGATCCATGAGCCACATAGTTAAAAATTCTCCTACTGAATTTTACTGGAACATATACCATAATCCAAACCCTGGACAAAATCTTAAAAGCATTTTTGTTCATATCTTCAGAAATGTACTCCACATGAAGCAAAATATATTGCAAGCATTACCAGAATCCAAAAGGCAGGTAAAAAAAAAACAGGGAAATCAGCAAGTTGCTAGCCAAGAACAAATAATCAAGGGGACACCGTGAATACTGCATAATTGTATATGTTGCTTGTTTTTCAAAATGGCTCATTGTTTAATTTGATGGCAAAAAAATGACATTCTAAATGAATAGTGAAGAAGAGAGTAGAAGGAATTCCTACATAAATCCAAAATCCAAGCACAGATGTAAAATAGATGAAAATAAATAAAAAGAGAGCAAGGATTCTTCAAAATGAAGGATGTCTGTAGACTGCTTTTTAATCAAAATCATAGTCAAGAGATGAGGAAGATCCTTCACTGGGGTCTTCCTCGGTACCCAACCACAAGCCCCCCTGCCGAAAGCATCCCCTAGGACTAAAGCCCCCCAGAAAGCCCCCCTGCCAAAAGCCCCCTAGGTCAAAAGTCCCCCACCCCACCACTTTTAAAAAATTGGATGCAAGTTTCATAATAGTGTTTGGTGGCCCTGAGAAGGGCTATTTGGTTTCATTAGTCCTCAAAAGGACTGTTTAACAATCATCTTCAACATTGCCTTTTGTGTCTTCCTCACTGTCACTGATGCTCTCCATGTCATTTTCTTCTAAATAGCCATTGCAGTTTGCAATTTGACCATCCTTATGATTATTGATGATCTGAAGTGCACCAGCCATTGGACCAACAAGGTGAACTGTAGATTTTGCAGAAGTCAGCAAGTGATGATGCTTTGACATGCAAAGAATCACTGATGACCACTGCAGGTGAAGAATCCCTTTATATGCTCAACTTACCAACATATTGGTACTGGGCCTTGTACTGGGCATGCTGGTGAAAAGTGCAGCTAGCCATCAAGAGTTACAAGAATACCTGTAATCCCCAATTTTTGCACCAAGGGGGGCTTTTGACCTTGGGAGGGCGGTTTTGGCAGGGGGGGCTTTTGGACTACACCCATCTTCCTCAGTGCATCCTCTGCACAACAGGAAACATTCCCCTAATATAAAATTTGAAATTATAAAAACCCAATGATAAATGTTATTCACATTCCTTGTGCCTCAAAGTTTTGGATCATGTTTCAAAAACAGCTTTACTTACTGCCTGTATTTGCATATTTTGATGCAATGAAAATATCTAGAAGCATCTATGTATACTGCTTTTTCTTGACTCATTGACCCTCTGAAGCAATGTTTACATTGAATTCTTTGGTTGTTTTTTTTTAGATGAGGAGATCACCATCAACCATGACATAGAACATCTGGAAGAAGCTCACCATCAGCAGATTTTCCCAACTTCAGAATTGAATCACGCAAAAATGAAAAGTCAAGCTGCCAACCTCAGAGTGGACCTTGACAACTTCCTGCATGAAGTCTCGAATTCAGACCCAACATTGGCTGAAAAAGAAGAAACCTTGCGCATAGTTCATTCAGGTATAGTACAGTACTGGTTTTTTTTTTTAATTCTTTCTCTGTTATCACAATATATTTTTCATCCATACAAAGCCACATAAGCCCAACCTCAATTCTGAAACTTAGCTCTGAAGACCATATGAAGTTTGGTTCATGAGAAATTCATGTTCAGCCCTATGCATGATACCAATTAACATGTTGAATCAGGCCAAGAACGATAAATTTTGGTTTTACTTCTAGCATTTTTTTGCATTCTGCTTGGAAAAATCAGGATCAGATTGTACATTGGGCTGCATTTAAATGAAATATATACTGCATAGTGGAATCTTCTTACACAAAAATCTTTCAGGTGAATCAGCCAATGAACTCAAAGGCCGGAAAAGAAAATATTTGCATTCCCTATCCCATTTATTATTATATTTGTTACTATCCCACCAAATAAGGCAGACATAGCAATTCCAAGCATAGCAAAAAATTCATATATAACAAGTCAGGCATTGTGCCTACCTGTTATGTTCATCTGGGCTGAGGGAAAAGGCTTTTATTGATACCACAGAGAACTGCAACAGATCTTGCAGCTCTTTATCATTGTTGTGTATCCATTTTGTGTTGTGTTTTCTGCAGTTGGTGTCATGGCTTTTCTAATCGTGTTTCTGTGTAGAGCTTAAAGAGAGCTTCAAAATTAACTTCAGTACTGTATAATAAATGCAAGTGTTTACAGTGCATTTTAAAGTTTTCAAATAGTTCTACTCAGAAATCCAATTTGAATTACTGCAACACCTGCAGGCACTGTGACACCAAATGAGGGCATGATACCATTGTTCCCTATTTTGTTTTATTTTCCCAACCTTTTGGTCAGTGGAAGACTCCTTTCAATCCCAGGGAATAGTTGAGATTTTTTTGCACACAGGCATGTTTCTGTTTGACCAACCATCACCAAAATGCCCCTGGATTGCTGAGAAGGCTTAAAATGGGAAAATTTCAGGATGAGCAAATCTTGCTGCTTCCAGAAATTTTCAATGCGAATTCTGAGCTGAAAATGCAGAAAAAATACCATTAAAGAAGGAACTATTTTCAGAAAAAGTGTTTTGCCAGCAATGAAAAATATTTGTATTTGTCCCAACTTAGGACTTTTTTAATTCAAGTTTTATCTCATTCAAGTGATCTTGGACACACAAATTTTCAAAAATATATCCTTACTTTGATGCAGAAGTTCTAATGCGCATTGGATGTGAGGGGTTTTTTCTTTGCTTTTCATGCTGGAGAATTTTGGTTCGACCCAACATTCATTGGAACCAAGCTTGAATTGACGGAATAGTCTGAAAACTTGGAGAAACTAACATTACATTATTAATTAATGAAATCAGGTATTCCCTGGATCGTCAAACGGGTCATTCGTCCTGCCATCACCCATCACGCATCATCAAGCAGAGACGGTGTGGAAACTTTCAATTTCGTGGAAAAAAGAATCGTTCAAGAAAACAAACCCTCATCGACCCCCACGACCACCCCTTCATCCCCATCATCCACCATCACCAGCTCCACAATAACAACTACGCCCCAAACTTCAACCAGGACTACCCCAACCTTACCCACTACAACCCCCGCAGAAGAAGACCTTGGGTTTTGCAACATTGGCAACATTGAAAGTTCAGAAGAAATCTTCACAAATGCTGCTCCTTGTTTAACTTGCAAAGAGAAGAAAAAGCGGAAGAAAAGTTCCCGGAAGTGCAGCAGCCAAAGAAGGAAGCGCCGCAGGAAGAACAGGAAACACCGGAAATCCAAGAGAAATAGGCACTTCTAAATTCGTTTTTTTTTTCCAAAGGAACATTCTTCACTGACAGTCAAACCCTTCAAATATCTTGCATTATTTTTCAACCCTCGGTTGGCAAAGAAGTTGGGCCTTTTCTGCAAAATTTGGTGCCAGTTAATGAAGCTTTTTTTTATTTTTAAAAAGCATACCAGTGCATCCAGGGCAAAGTGGGGAAAATCCTAGCATATTTTTTAATTACTGCAGACAAACTTTGCCCAAAATTCATTTTTGGGGAATTATTATATCACAATCAATTCTAATCTTAATGCGATGCGATGTGCAAAATATTTCCAAGTTGAAAACTGACGAATTCAGAATAAAATCTTCTCTTCATTTGAAGGTATGAATATTTTTGTATGGAAAAAAAATCAAATTTGTCTCAAGAATCCCCTAATATTGATGAGAATTAGCAAATAGATAGAATTGTTGAATGCAGGAGGAAAAAACCCATACAAAATAATTGTTTCAGAACCAGTGACGAATGAATGAATGAACAGAACACTTTATTTGCCGCTTTTCAGCATTCACAA